TTAGGTTTCTTTCCCTGAATAAACATCGTGATGATTTTGGACAAGATTATTTTGCAAGCCTGGGCTGGATAGACGGGAAGAATCAGAACAGACAGCCAAGGGCACCTAGAGCTGCCCTCTGGGAAGCCACACTGACTCTAAATCCTTTGCCACTATTTTTCTGGAGGAGACCCAAAGACCATTCACAGTGGCTAGCCAAAGACCTCTGCAAAGATCGCACACAAGCGACAACAAATACAGCTACAGACACTTGTCCACCCAGTTCTTGAAAGCAGATGTGTTGTAGTGCTCCTAAATGTGAAGACAAGAGATGGGCGTGAAACAAACCACAAAGCAAAAGCAAAACAAACAAACAAACACAAATTGGGCCATGCTAAAGAGCACATTCCTGGGGGCACATGCTTTCGGGAGCTATAACCCGGACGTTCCAAATCCAATCTTTTCCAAACTTGGAGGGGGTTAGGGAGGAGAGTCAGCTGAACACTTGCAGTGAGTTTCCCAAATCCAATCTTTTCCAAACTTGGACAGCGTAGAGAGGAGAGCCAGCTGAAAACTTGCTGTGAGTGTGGCATCTCTAACTTCTGTGGAGGCCATTTCAGCACTCCAGAAAGTCCCAAATGGCACAACGCACAAAACAGTTCATTTCATTGGAAAGTTTGTGGTTCGTGAATAGCGACAAACCGTCACAAACGGCCATTTTCCCAGTTCGTGCCCACCTCTAGTGGCGACCCTCATACACACTCTTTTTTTAAAAAATAAAAAGCTATCAAATCCTATACTTAGCTTTTGGCCAATGGTTTCACAACAAGGAATTCAAGGTGTTACTGATATTTTTCTATTATTGCCCAATGTATGCAGGAGCAGCTAAGAGACCTATGAAAACTTACTCATTGCTACACACAAGCAGTGTGAAATCACTATCAGGAGATGCTTAGGAGGAGGAGCTACCTAGATTTTTTACTGTGAGTCTTCGCACACAGAACTAAGATTTCTACTTTGTCACCGTATGTCTGATGGAAGAGCAATATTGGCAGGATGACATAACAAAAAACTCAGCACAGACAAAGGACATAGGGAGCTAGCAGTTACAAACACACAAGTGAGAGGAGGGTGGGAGATCAGGAGAAGCAAGCAGTCTAGCTGTCAGCCTGACCCCTAAGTGAGGTGGAGAGCTTTCCCCCAACTACAGAGAACCCCTTGGCATCACTGAATAATTCTTTAAAGGCCTTTCGGTTAGCTTCCATATAGAGGGAGTGGCCACATTGCAACCGTTTTTAAGTGTCTGATCCAGACAATGACAGTATTGGCCAATTTGCACAGAGTGTTTCTGACCAGGCCTCGCTTCCAAGTCAGGAAAAGCACATTTGGAACACAAAATCCTAGATTTCAAACCTGCTCTTAAAAAAAACAAACCCTGCCAGGATTTTTTAATTTCTTTATCTTGGACTGCACACCTCCAGAATTCTTGAGCCAGCAGGTCCATGTTCTGATAGTGCCTTCGCCTGCAATGGTCAAGGTATATGGGTCTTAAAGACATGATTCCCACTAGGGGTGAAAAAGAGAAACACCACGGCTCAAATGCCAGAGGAGACGTGTCCTCCAAACAGGGACCACTCTTGAAAACTTCAACCCTGGAGAAGCCCTTCCAGATACCACCTCACGCAAACATCTCACAAAATCCTAGATTTTCAGGTGATGGGGAAAGATGGAGGAAGAGTCTCACTGGGGCCCTTCTTTGAGAAGATGGTCCTGGACACTTGCAGGACCGAAGGCAGTATTGGTTGAAAGCACAGCTATGCTCACGTCACTCCTGCTCATATGTTTGAAGCAAGATTCCCCTCCAGCCTTCATGATAATAAGAGAGAGCCGGTGACCGATGGTCCTTCTGAATACAAGGCAGCTCACATACAACAGGGTGCCACAGATCCAAGAATTATGCTACGAACGCTTAAACCCCTCTAAAGCTGCCACCCTTCAGGATTCTTGGGAAGGATTAAAATGGCAAGACGGGTGCAACTTGCATTACCAAGCAGGCAAGCGAACAAGCAAACAAACAACCGAAAGTGACAGCCAAATCATACCAGTTACAGAAGGGTATACACAACTGTCTGCCTATAATCATCCAATTTCTTCTGTGGGCAGTAATCACAGCCAACAAGCAATCAGCGACAGAGCGCAATAATGAACTTCTGCCACCCTCTGAGCCACAAAAATCCAACTCAGCCTTTCCCTCAGTTCATCCGGTGGACAAGAGCCTTGAGGGAGTTTGCGGCCAAACTGGGCCTGTCCTCTGATCCATGACTTGCTGTGCTTCTCTGGTGCTGAGGACCCTACAGATCAAGCCCCCAAACACTCTATTTCTTCCATGCTGTTCTCCTCCTCTTTTGATGCTTCCAACGGGACCTCATTCTGCAGTACATTAAGCCTGCAGAGACCCCCAACTCAAAGTATAAGAGCAATTATGGGCCGTCTCCTTCATCCTGAAGGCCAAATTCCACTTCACAAACGTTCTCGGAGGCCAGATGCCAGCACAAGGGAGGGCCAAAGGGTCGGGACCAGAAATATTAGCCTATATTGCCTACACATTTTAACTGTAACTAAGCCTTACAAGAAGCATGTTGACCTTTTAGAATCACGGGTGGGGGAATATCCATAGAGCACGGAGGGGATCGCCAAATGAACAGCGCCATTCGGAAGAGGGTGCATTGAACAACCAGAGGGTCAGATTAGGACCCTTAAAAGGCTGTTCCAGCCCCAAAGTCTGTGGTTTTCTGTCAGTGCATTGGGAAATCCAACACGGTTCTGCAGGACAGCCCACATGGATAAGGACAGCGCCATGATCACCAGAAACGCCACCAAATAGAGGTGGTAGGAGTTGGCATTTGGCTTCAAGCCTTTGGAAGGTAGATTAAAGGAGTGGACTGAGGATGGGGCGATAAGAGACCATGGCCACATACAGTCCTCGCAATAAACTGCAAAGCGGAAAGAAATTGCTACAACTCAAACAAGAGTTTCTTTTAAAAAAAGAACAAACAAGAAATAACAGTATTCCCTTTGTGTGTGTGTGTGTGTGTGTTTATATATATAAGATATATATATATATTTACGAATTACACAAGAGTCTTAAAGATGGTATAAAAATGTACAGCCCAGTTAAAAGGGTCTTCACTTATCAATAGTAGAAGTATGAAAACAGCACCATTGTTAGAAGCTATAAGAAGTTAGATCCTGTTTCAACTCTTTGCTCAGTAGACCACCGAGAGGCCTGGAGCGTGAAGTCAACTTGACCCATCGGCCTCGGGTCCTTGGACCGATCAAGAAGGTTTTGGCCCACTTGGGCCTCCCTCCCTTAGCTCATTGCAGCCTGGTTTGGCCCCCAAACGCCTCTCCTTGCCTTCAAAGACCCCAAGGAGGAAACCCAGTAGCATGACTGAGATGGGTTAGGGAAAAAGGAGGAGGGAAGTGCTGATATATGCATGTGTCTGTACCATTCAAACTGCCCCGATAGCTTCTGAAACCAGTCTTATTTTTTTTCCCTGAATCAAAGCAAAAAACGCTTTCCTGCTACAAACATTACTTACATGGTTTTGGCAACCTATTTTTTCTGCACAACAATATATAGATATAGATATATATTTATATATGTAATTCGTGTCAAATTTTATTTTCTTTATATTCCAGAAGATACAAAGCTCTCGATCGTTGGTTTCTTCCTTTTCCTTTCCTCTTTTTTTTTTTTTTTGTTAGTTTTGTTTTTACGGAGTTTTAAATTTTTTTCTCTTTTTTTCCTCTCTTTTTTTTTTTACAAAAAAGTTAGATGTTTAACTAATACAGTATTTGTTTTAAAATTTTATTCTCTCCCCACACCCACCTACCCCCCCTCCATTCCATCTTAAATTACAAAGGAAACAGCAGGCACCGAGTTCCCCAAAAATTAAATTTGCTGGATTTAAAAAAAAACAAAAAACAAAATGTGCTTCCCAGTCACACTGTTTTAGTGAATATGGCAACCAAGTCAATTCAGGAAATGAGAGAAAGAGAGAGAGAGAAGGCAAAGGTTAAGTTGAATTAGAAATTCAGAGTCTTGCTTCCATTTTCTGCCTACTAGCCCCCCTCAAAATTGATGTGGTTAAAGCACAAAGCATTATTGTATACAGTATACAGGGATATGGTTACATGCGCCTGTGGCAAACATCTTGTTCCAAACTCATATAACAAACAGATAAGGCTTTGCACATAAATAAAACGTTGTGGTTCAAGTGTACAACCCTAATCGCAGGTTAACAGCAGAAACCGAGGCATGTTCATTTAAACATTAAATCCCATGTTGTTCAACAGGATTTACTTCCAGAGAAGTGGGTACAGGATTACATCCTAAACTATACCCACATAAGTGGTTAAAAAAAAAAAAAAAAACCCAGATCATAGTTCCTTTTGAAGGATTTTGCTAAAAGCATAGCCAAAGCTCACAGATGACATCCAGCCGAGGGTAATCTTTTCAAGTTTTTTTCTCTCCTTTTTAACCAGCAAAAGCAAGACTCGTGAAGTTTCTGACACATTCCATTACATCTTCCTTGTAGGAAAGATTCAACCTTAATCAAAAGTCTTTGCTATCTACTGCAGGGGGGAAACCCCCCCCCCCGGGATGTTGAAAATCAAATCACCAACAATCATTGTCAACCAGGTTGAAAATCAAGAAGAGGCCGTATTACACACATCAAGAACAACAGAAAGTCAACCATGTCAAGTTGAGATTTTTTGTTTGTTTCTATGTCTTTTCTGAATGAGAGCGACATAACCTCAAAGTAACCATTCTATACGTTTGGAAGTAGAAACAGAGCCATTACAGAAGTCAAAAGGCAGATGAAGTGTACACCAATGATAATATAGAGAGAGCACAGTGTGATGATATCGGTTACTTCAAAAGCAGAATATACAGCCCACGTCAATTTCAGTCAATTCCACCTTTCCAAGCCAATCAACCAAGATTTTTTTTTCCATTTTTTTCCGCTCCTTTCACCAAAATCCATCAAACTCAGCTCAACAATTCTGCATTTCCCATGGATCAAAGAACGAAACCTCCACAATAGATCACCAAAATTAAAAAAAAATCGTCAATGCTAATTTTCTTTAAAAATTCACAGTTCAAAAAGGGACAACGAAAGGGGGGAAAAGTGCTATTTTCCATTACTATACCTAAGATATACTTGGGATATTCTGTAGGGTTTTTTTCTCTTTCACACGCGAAATCTTCTTCTTCTCCTTTGTCGTCGTCTTTCCCACCTCATAACCTTCATCTCCTAACTTGGCACCATCCACATAGAAGAGTCAACTAAGAACTGAATCCATTTGACGTAAGCTTGCCGTTCAGATGACTCCCCCCTTCTCCTGCCAGAAGCCGAGAGGGTGAGGGGAGGTTTGGGCGGTCGGGAATGCGATTGGTTCTCCAGAAGCAGAACGATCCTTGCGTTAAGGCATGCTGCTCCAGGATTGGCTGACGGGGCCGGCGCCCACTCCCCACCCTCACTCAATCCGCAGCCTGGTTGGTTCCTCCCAACGCGAATGCCAAGGCCCTCCGAATCTGAATGGCAGTGATGGTTTTAATGAGATCCTGTGTGTTGGTTCTTTTTCGAGTCGAGGAAAAATAATAAGAATAAGAATAATAAAACGAGCAGCTGGACTTTAGCCCTGAAAAAGAAGAGTCAACGTTGATTAATGCAAAGAAAGGGGATTGAGGGAGCAGGTTTATGCAAGTTAAGAGTCGGGACATTAAAATTCCATGAACTTCTGCTCCATGAAAATAATGCAGTCCCTCCCCCCCTTAAAGTAATGTCCTTCAAGTTACTTTTCTTTCCCATCCAGCAGCCTTTAAGAAGAATGAATGAGGATTCACTACTTCCTCCTTTCTCTCTTTAGTCATGCTGTACTGTTCCCGCAATTGTCTGTCGCCTTGATTTCAGGGTACAGTGGACCCTCGACATACAGACGGCTCGACTTACAGACTTTTCGAGTTACAGACTTCTCTGGCTGCAAAATGTAGGTTCGACTTGCAGCCGGAGAATCGATCTACAGACCAGAAAAAAACCAAAACAGAACAAAAACGGAACAAAAACGGCCGGTTACGGATTAATCGGTTTTCAATGCATTGTAGGTCAATGGAGACTCGACCTACAGACTTTTCGACCTGCAGCCACTTTTCCAATACGGATTAATTCCGTAAATCGAGGGTCTACTGTATCCCTAGCTGGTCCTAGCATTTGGCAGACTGAGGCACCCACTGCAGGTGGCAGATGCCAGAGGACAGGTACAGCTGCCCCCATGTCCGTAGCTTCTGAAATCCCCAGCCAAAAAATTCTCATCACTGTACATTTTATCTGAATTGGCATCAGGTCTGCCTGTTGTCATACAAAACATTACAAAGAATGAAAAGAAAAACTTGAAAAACCCAGAGATGATACAGCAGGTTGGTCATATACAGACATTCTCATATTATTTTAGGCATATACAGCTGTTTCTCTGCCTGGCTGATACTAGAAAATCTTCCATCATGGCTTATAGAGGGATGTCAAGGGCCACTTCCTGTTTGTGCAGGAAGAGAGCCTCAAGGGATTTTAGGTACAGCGATTTAACACGGTGTTTGCTTTGTCGTGTTTTTAAACAGAATTGAGCAGAAAGTTCCCCTCTGCGACAGACTGGCAAAATTTGGGGGGCTTGTCAAAACACCTTTGTAAACTAGGCTGGGGTGTCATGAATTAAAAGGGCAACATTTGATCCTCCCTGTGCCCTCGGTACAAGGTTAGGCAGTTGTTTTAAGCAAATCTTTCGGCAGGAAGGAGGAATGGCACCTGCTCTGAGGCAGGCAGCCATCAAAGCGAAATTGGAAAAGGAAAGGGGGAAAAAAAAGAAAAACTTTTTCTTCCATCTCTGAAATGCCACCTCAAAATTCGCAAGGCGTACAGCAACAGACGATATGTCTGAGATGCAAAGGCATGAATTCCAGTAATAAGAGCCTAAGGAGGGTTGTTGTGGATCAAATCAAAGGCCTATCCCAGACAGCATTTTGTTTGCACAATGACCAATGGGAAGCTAACAAGCAAGGGAACAAAAGCACACACCCTTGAAACAGGCATTGAGATAGGGCACCCTGCCTCTACTACTGGAGGTCAATGGGTAGGCATAATAAGCAATACCCACTGATACCCTCAGAGCTGCAATGAAAATGTCTTCATGCATTGTTGCCACTCAAGCCAGGACTCACGCACGCCAAATGATTCCCAGGGTGTCTGTTGCCATATAATCAACAACAACCTCTTGGTCTGATAAAATAAAGTTGTGTGAGAGAAGAAAGGAGGTTGTGGAGACCGTGTCCCAGACCTATGTGTATCTAAGTTGGCCATGAGAAGGAACAGTCACTATCTAAATCATGGCTCTGTTTGTTGGGGAAAGCTCCCATCTTGTAAGAAAAGAAATAAGTGGCATAGACCAAAGAGACTTCATAGTATTCAAACAGTATCCCCACTTTGTCCTGTAAGTTAGTGGTCCTCAACCTTGGGCCTCCAGATGTTCTTGGACTGCAACTCCCAGAAGCCTTCACCACCACCTCTGCTGGCCAGGATTTCTGGGAGTTGAAGTCCAAGAACATCTGGAGGCCCAAGGTTGGGGACCACTGCACTAGATGAGCCATCTTTTCATTGACAATACTTCAGCAAGTACTTGGTATGACTCCCTTTCAAGGTGGGAAAGGCCAAGGTCTGGGAGTTTAATCCTGCAGACTCAGCCTGAAAGCTACTAGACCAAGCCTGATAAGACATTCATTGGTTTGTACAGGTCTATCTGCGTTCATTAAAATGTCCGAACATTGCCTATGTGTAGGGTGTTCTTCCTCCTAAGATGTGATCAGTGTAAGGTCTACCTGAAGCCCTGAACAAAACTGTGTAAGGGAGAACTGAGTTGTGTTGGCATCATGGGCTGCTCTTATGTGATTTTTTTTTGTCACCTACCAGCCACGGAGGGACTGAGCTTGGTGTTGTTACACGTGGCACCCTCTAGGACAGTGGTGGGTCCTCAAAATGGAAGTCATACTGAACAGAGTATGGGACTGGGACGCACGAGAGCAGCAGGGGGTGCAGCCCAAAGGAAATCCTAACTTGGAGATTGACCCAGAAGAAAAGAAGCGGGCATGACTGTATATGTTTCCAGGAGGAAGTTTTCCATTGGCGCCCATTTACTGAAGTCTGGAGTTGATTTCTATGGAGCCAGAAAGCAAAAGGATACATTACTTCCAATTCTTCTAATCAGAGGGCTAAACTAACAAATTAGAGATCTTTTAATGAAAGGAATAGAATGGACTTTCAATTAGTCGAGTACACCCTGGAGTTGGAGGAGGGTGGGCTAATGCATTGACTAATTACCTAAATAAATAAATAAACAAACAAACAAACAAGGTTTTCTCCGGCCTACAACTTCTATCTGCAGGATACTAGGTTAGGGAACACTGAAGGACAGTAACCACCAGAAGCACTTTTGCGTCTCCCACCTGTTGACTTCAGAGCAGCAGTACTTAAGAACCACTTTAAAAGACATTGGTTGGCCGCTCTGTTGACCCATCTCCTAGTTTGCTGGGTGGCGACTTAATTTTTTCCATCAGGAGTAAAACTTTTTTTACCCAGTGTGCTGAGCAAAACAGGAATTCCTAAAGGTGGAACCAAGCTGTTTCTTTCCCATGTCCGCCTGCAAAGAAACCAGGTAGGTGGAGAGAGCACACAGCGATGCGCAATCATGCACAAACAAGACAAGTTAATCATTGGCACTAATTACAGTGAAAAGAACCTACCATGCATGCAAATTAGACCCAGGAGTCAACAGGCTGGGGTTTAGGGTCACGGGCATCCACCAGAGTCACCGAAGCCCTGTTACTCCTGTTAATGGCTTTCCTATTTGTGTCATTCTGCAGCAGACAAGGTGAAGCATTAAAAAGGCAAAACAGAGCAGATTAATCAGACAGACAGACAGACAGAAAGGCAGACAAACTCACTGGTTCAAAAGGCTTGCGTGGAAGCATTAGTGCAGAAAGAGAGAGAGAGAGAGACTGAATCAGCAAAAGACGTAACTTCACTGCAAACACCAGTAACAATATCCGAGAGTGCCAAGCAAGATTAATCAGTGCAATTGCAGTTCGCAACATGTGACTCTAGCAATGGACTGCCAACACTGGAGATCAGCACACATTTAGTGGAGCAGACACTGAAAACTCCACTCAGAGGAGGAAAGGACCTCAGGGAGGAAGTGGGTCTGGATTGTCTCAGGTAAAGACAGGCTACTGGTGAGGCTTGCTCCATGTGACATCCGCCATCTTGTTGACTTGGGTCCATATGCGTGTATGAGAAACTCCAGGGGATCAAATCACTTTTCCACCCTGTGATTTCCAGCTTCTGGTGCCTATAGTGGCTGTTGCCAGGCTGTACAAAGTTGTCAAGTTATGTCACCTGGGGCAGATACGCTACCTCCTTTATCCTTCCATAGGAAGCACTGTGCCAGAAGACGGAGGAGGATAAAAACACTAAGTTCCTAGATTCACACATTGCTCAATGAAGTTGAATAACAAAAGTTTCAGAAACTAAATTTAATTGTACCAGGCTGCCTCATAATAAATGCAGGAGTGACCTTCCTTCCGGCTGAGGGTTTACTGTGGAGCCGCCATGCTTTCGTGACCTACATTTTGAGAAGCGTACATGTGGGTGGATTATCACACAGCAGCTGCCTAAAACTGTTCTAAAAGAGTCACATCTTTTTCCTTCTTAGAAAAAGCTAAGCGCTTTGGAGAACAATGAGCAGCAAAATCGCCATAGATGTAAAGGATATCAGTGTCATATTTCCATCTTTTCCAAGAGGCGTGGAGTTTAATGCAAACACCGGCCTACAGGGCAAGTTGTCTCAGTATGCATTCAAGATCACATTTCGCAGCAAGCATGTATCCCTTTTCATATTTTCGCAAATATGAAACAATATTAAGCATGAAACAGCATTATAGAGTGATGTCGCTGCAATACATGCATCTATTACTGTTCAGCAGGTGACATATAGGAGCGGTCCACCCACTGGACATGTAGCATAAATGCTGGGATGATGACCTAAAACATGATCGCAAATAAAAGCCACATACACCTCCACGTCTGTTGGTAAGAAGGGAGCTGAGGATGGTTCCAGGTATCTTCGGCAGATTTAGCCTTCTCAAGTAGCTGCAAAGGCCCACAAGCTGACGTCTACTGAGAGACACCCTTCAAACCACTGCTCTCACCCCCAGCTTCACCTACGCTCTGATCAGTGGCAGGAGCTTGCCCAAAATGCCCCTGACCAAGAGTCATTTAGGGGCACTGGGGGTAATTAAAAAGGTGTCTCTCAGAGGCCTGCCACTGTACCCAGGCCTATATTTTGGTGGTTCAGCATTAATGGTTTCAAAATCGGGTTCAGTATCGTTTCTGACAATTCTAACTACAAGAACTATAGAATCATAGGATAATTGCGTTGGAAGGGGCATATAAGGCCATTGAGTCAAACCCCCTTGCTCAGTGCAGGCATCCAGATCAAACAGATCTGACATGGGTGGTCCCATTTTCTCTTAAATGCCTCCAGCGTTGGAGCGCTCACCACCTCCCAAAATAATTGGTCCCATTGTCGTACTGCTCTAACAGTTAAGAAGTTTTTCCTGCTATTCAGCTCAAACCTGATTTCCTGTAACATGAGCCCATTGTTATGTGTCCTGCACTCTGAGATGATCGAGAAGAGATCCTGCCCCTCTTCTGCCTTTCAAGTATTTAAAAAAATGCATCTTCTGTCAATCCTAAACATATAAGTCAGATCAAGAACAGATCCTGCCCCTCTTCTGCTTTTCAAGTATTAAAAAAATTGCATCTTCTTGTCAATCCTAAACATATACGTCGATTTCATTCAACCTAAAAGAGCTTATTTTTGAGTAGATCTGTGTAGGATTTAATTATTAAACTCATATCTCACTGCTTCCTTGTTCAACTCTGTGCAACGTGTGTTCAATAGTACAAAGTGATTGGGCCCATCTCTCACCTCACAACAGGATTGTTGTTAACCTGCTCCCAATAATTCAAAAACTCTTATGCATACAAATCTACTGTGTTTGTTTGACTCAATATAGCCATATTATTATTTTAGAGAATGTGTGATGGGTTGGAGAAAGAATTAATCTCTATTTTATTAACAGCAGCAAGACTAACAATGGTGAAAAGTAGAATATGATTTTTAGATAACAGAATGGTATAATGAGATTTAGAATATAGAAATCAATGATAGATTAGCATGCGATATTAAGATAAAGAAATGATTTTTGTACAATAACGTATTTAAGGATATACGAGAAGATTTTGTATAATTTATATTAATAAAAGGGAAAGGTCAATTACCTTCATAAGAAACATTACAACTTGGAGAGAGTAAGGGGCTGTGAAATAAAAATCAAACTTGAAGTATTTTTATTGGTCCCGATGAAGGGGTGCAAACGTTAATTGTTATATTTTATTGTATATATGTAATGTAAATGTATCATTTATTAGTGTGACATTTTTGTTGTTATTCTAATTGGTGTTTTTTTTTTAAATTAAAAATCGTTGTACCCCAGTAAGAGGAAAGTCAGGTCTCCCTTGATGCCGTTAGGCGGCAATGTCAGCCACATTTCGTCAATAGTAGTGAGATGTTTCAGGAAGTACAGACCTACAAGATCTGGAAAGTCATGTAGTCCCCCTTCCTGACGAAATGGCTTCGCACCCTTCCTCAGAACACACACTGGTGGCACCCATTCAAATAAATAAGGCTGTTCTCTGTGGGCTTGTATGACTTATTACGGGCCGTGCTTAATAATCAGTCATGAACAACATTATTTTTCTGCTTTATAAAACCCAAGATCTACTGTGTCCAACATGCGGTGTGTCACAGTAGCCATCCTGGTGACCACAGGAAGTCTACAAACACAACACAGAGGCAACAGGTGGCTGTAGGAAGAGCACAGAACCTCCTCTCACACTGGTGTTAACTTCCGGGCACATGAACACTACCTGTTAACACAGCAAAAAAACCCACAGATGTAATCACACACTACAATCTATACGAGGGGTTCCATATTCATGCCTACATTGGAACACATCTTGTGTAGAAATCATGCCACCTCCTAAGTATCTCCAGTGGGTGTTTGGGGGTAAAATGGGGAGTAGCGATGATCACCAAGATCAAAGGCTTTACACACCGCAAATGACAAACTTTCTAGAAACTTGGTCAAGTGGCTTTTCCTTTCAAGCAGTGGTTGCCAACCTTGGGTCCCCAGATGTTCTTGGACTCAAACTCCCAGGAACCTTCACCCCTAGTTGTGTTGGCCAGGATTTCTAGGAGGTGTAGTCCAAGGATGCCCTGGGGAACCAATCTTTAAAAAGTGGGAGGAGGAATAGTTCATAGCAGAGCATCTGCTTGACCTATGGGATGTCCTAGGTTGAATCCCCAGAAGGGAAAAATATTTTTGTAAAAACAACAACAGGTAGAGGAAGTCTTTCAAAGGTACGAATAGAGGGCTCCTGGATAGAGACGGGCAATGAACCACCAGTTCAGTGGGTTTGTGCTGGTTTGGCGAAGGGCCGAACATGTGTTCGGTGGTTCGGAACCCCATCCCCTCCAGGAGGCGCCAATTCAGAGGTGGGGCCTGGAGGAGGCGGGGCAAGGAAGCTGGGACTTTCCTTCTGAGTGAACACCCACCAGAGAGAGTGGGGAAATTGCCCTGGAAGGCCTGTCCGGCCATCGTTCGAATTGGCACAAGCCACTGAAATACGAGCCGTTCATCCCCACCTCTTTTCCCGGAGCGTTGGACATCACTCCCCCTGGTGTAAAGTGCCATGAACTAGAGGAACTAACAGCCCTGCTCAGCATAAGGCAGCTTTTCCTGATCTTTCAGGAAAGGGGTGGCCGCTAGGTGGCAAAGGATGGAAAGGATCCGAGGTTCCAGCTTTCACCCTATCCAGACAGGGCTGGGAAAGACATCCTCCATGGCCATCAAAAGAGGCAAAACTAGCAGCATGTATTTATACTATCCACAACCTCAGGCACACGAGAGGGATAGGAGGATAAGTGGAGGCTGACAGGGACAGTCTCCTCACGGCAGAGCAGCTTCCAGGCTCATTTAAACCATGTCCTGCAGGCAGCCCTTTAATCCTGGCCCACAGATGGTTCTGCTCAGTGGAACGCCCCCAGGGGTGAAGAGGGCAGCGTGCCTCACGACGGCATCGGCGTCTCGAGATTCTTGGGCACAGGCCCAGCCAAACCAAGCATCCCGTTTATGGGATTTGCAAGGATCACAAGATATCCTATTAATTTAAAGAGAAGGGGGAGGTGAGCTCCGATTTAGATTCTGAGTGTCAAACAGCTTTGAATGAGGGCATGAAAGACGCTGGAAGAGGCTAAAATGAGAGAGATGCATATGAACTGGTATCAATGTCCTATTAATTTAAAGAGAAGGGGGAGGTGAGCTCCGATTTGGATTCTGAGTGTCAAACAGCTTTGAATGAGGGCATGAAAGACACTGGAGGAGGCTAAAATGATAGAAATTTATATGAACTGGTATCAATGCATTTTCCAAGCAGAAGGGGTGGGGGGACAGAACATGCCATTATAGTGTAGTGCCACCGTAACTAAAACTCCAACAGAACTCAGGGAATATCTATGACCAAATGCTACTGAAACAGCTAGAAGGGGGGGGGGAGACAGAACATGTCACTATAGTGTGGTGCCAAAACTAAACTAAAACTGCATCAGAATTCAGGGAATATCTATGACCGGATGCCACTGAAACAGTTACCGCAGCCTGTAGAGGCTGTTAAACGCTTTAGGGTGAACAAAGATTACATGTTCTTGTTCACCTCCACCTGAGAAAGAGTATGTGGATCCCTGCAACATCTGGAGATACACAACTTATGCAACCTATACCTTTAGTCAGATTCCCTATTTCCCATATAAAAGAACAATGGTGAACGGGAGGCAGTGAAGCCAAAAGGTGAGCCTTCTCATCCACTGGATAAGTTGTTTGGCTTAATTTTGTTTAAAAAAACAGATTTGTTGCATATCTGGGGAGAGTGTGCTCAAGTGACTAGGGGCAAATCTACCCTGCCAAGTGCGCACAGCGCTAGACAGACATGTGCATGTATTCTGGTCTCCCCCACCATGTAAAGCAGGGGTTTTAAACTCAATTTACCTGGGGGCCGCTAGAGGCAGAGTCTGGGTGAGGCTGGGCCGCATCAGATTTTCCGCCAAGTGGAGCAAGAGCCCGAGGAAGCCGCCCAGGAGTTTCCTTAGCCGACAGACAGGTGGGCTGGCTGGCAGGCTGCAGTTCTGGATGGAGGGTGCAAGAGGTGCTGTCTTGGGAGAGAGCCGGCGAGCGAGGCAAGGCTTTTTTTTAACTCTTGACAGCAGAGGATGTGTGAGCGCTTTGGGGGGCCAGGCAAGGCGAGGGCCACAAACTATCATCTGGGGGGCCGCAAATGGCCCCCGGGCCGCATGTTTGAGACCCCTGATGTAAAGCATAAAAAAACAAAGGGGGCTTGGAGTGCTTATTTGCAGAGTAAAGTCTCCTGCGCAGCTTTATAGACCTTAAGAGCTGGGGGTTGGTTTCTAGACGGATGAACTGAAATGAACTGAAAGCCATGAAAGAGAAAGATTCTTGTGCCTCAGAGAGCAGCAGCGGGTTAGATGTTAGGAAAGATAAGCCCCTCAAGAGATACACAAGGAGACTCCAAAGGGCTAAAGACTACCAACCCTCCTTCTCCCCCAGGACAAACGAAAGGGAGAGATGGAACAGTTTCACGCCGGAACTAAAATGGATTTAAAGACGTAGACTTGTACTCAACAGTCACTACAGATATTTCAGGAGGAGCTGGCGGGCCAGGGAGGAGATGACCAAACTCAACAGGACAAAATTGATAGGACCGCAGTCGGTTTAAAATAATATGGGGTGAAAAAGATGGACCTTGGAAAGTAAGCTTTCCTACTTCTCCCCTTCTATCTTCCCATTGGGAGGAACCAACCGTGCTCATCTTGTTCTAGACCCTTCAGCTTGACCTGGAACTGACCCTAATTTACTCCTCTCACCCTTCCTTGAGAGGCCCAGTCTTCTCTGTTCACCAAATTACGCTGTCGCCAAAACTCTATTCTCTGCGGTCTATCTTCCACTTTCCACCTTAAATGAGGCTGTGCCAGGAGCTGGACTCTTTTCCCTAGGAGGCTGAGCTGAGTTTGGTTTGCCTGCATGGGCATTTTGCTGAGGAGTTTGTTTTTGCTGGGATTTCTTTTGTCGTCCCCCCCACCACCACCGCATGGCCTAGGAGGTGAAGCTTTCCCTCCTTAAATGAGGGTGTGCCAGGACTGCGCCTAACGGTGCGCGAAATCCTCAAATTCTCAATCTCTGACCCTAATATGGTAAACAGGAAAGCCAATTAGCATTGCATACACCTGGGAGGCAGGAAAGTTTTAAGGGTCTGATCATACTTCCACACTATTAGAGAGCAGGTGGAGCACGTCAGCCTGGGGAGGCAGCCCATCTAGGAGAAGGAAAACTCCCATTTCAAACCTCCACTGCCTTGTGGCTGTATCCACTGATGGAAAAGGCTTCAGGAGTTAACTTCTGGAGTTAAAATCTGGAGCTGGAGTCCCAAAGGCAGTTCGTGTCGCTCTGCCAACTCCTGCGATGTTGCCGGAACCAGTTGTGTTGGCTCTTGCCTTTCCCTTGGACCATTTCAGCAACGTGGAGAGGGGGGATTTGCTGGTTGGGTAGCAGCCTATCCTCCATACTACTTTACCCAGGCTTCATGCTCTGGAGAGGACACTTCTCGATACAGAGCATGTTACCACAGTCTCTTGAGACTGGCAGATCCCTATGGAATGGGAATCTTCCACTAGGCATCTAAGAAATTATAATAATGTGCCATCAATTCTACCTATGGTGACCCTTTTCAGGATTTATTCTGGGGGCACTGTGGGACGACCCAAAGTTACCCAGGCTGGCTCTTCTCCCAGGAGGCACTGGGAGGAACTGAACTCTCAACCTGTGGCTTTGTGGACTGATACCTAAATAACTAAGCTATGCAGCCAGCTAGGCACCTAAAGGCAAAATATGTCCTGGGCAAACTGCGCAGTCCTAGGATGCCTCCAGATGAAGGTAATGGTAAACCACTTCTGAGCACTCTCCACCTCGAAACACCCTAGGATGGAGGATATCTTCCTGCCACTGTGCAGATGAAGACTGATTCCAAGAGAGCGCGATCAAGTCTCGTTCTTGAGAGATGTTCCTCTATGAGATTACCAAAACTCCCCAGCTGGCCTGGCCGTGCTGACTTAGGTGTTCAGGAAGTCTTCCATGGAGTCACCTTGAGATGTTGGCCCTTAAGAGAATGCTACCTTCTCACAGACTCTGGGACAGATCATTTGCTAAAAATCCTGTTTACTGAATCTGACCCTCTTGGTTTTCTATGTTTGTCTGCAGCATGAGCGGTGATGGTGGGACTCAACCACCAGAGGTTAGCCACTGGATCAGCCTGACATCTAATGAATGTGGAGCCAGCAACACAGACCAAAAGCAAACCAGTAGGGCCAATGCTTTTATTGTAGACATGAGCAAAATGCCCGTGCTGATAGATTCCTTCACTTAATGTTTACCCATCAAGATTGGCCCTTTGCAGGAACCGCTGCTCTACAAGCCCCCCAGCATTGCCCAGGGGTGATACAAGGAGAATACAGCAGGAGACGCTCATCCATGCCACTCCTGAAATTCAAGGGCATCTGGAAGTATAGACCTGCCCCATACCTCACAATAATCTGGGTAAATCAAGTGAAGGGGAGAGGATTTTTTTTTTGTTCCTGATAGATTAACTCTGAAGGACTTGGCTTACTTTTAATGGTTCTTTCTCTGACGCATCCCCCATGTTCTCATGGGCCTTATATTTATTCCGCTCCTTGTCTCGGTGATCAATGGTGGAGTAGCCATCTGTGGAGAAACGACACAAGTTGTCAAGGAAGGCGTAGGATCACCGGAGGTGGAACATAACATCTCAGAATCATAGCGTTATAAGGAATACCCAAGGGTCATGTCGCCCATCTCCCCACTGACACAGGAAAGCTGCAGTGGACGCACGCCTGGTAGACAGCTGTCTAAACTCTGTTTCACAAAATCTCCCAACACTGGAGAATCCACACACACCTTGATGGAGCCAACTGAAGCCACGGCTGAACAGCTTTTATCAAAGAGGTTTGCCAAAACAGTGTCAAGGGAAAGACCAATTTAATGCACACCCCACACCGCAGTTAGCAGAAGGAGTTTGTGTTGGCTGCATACACAAAAATGTATTTTCAGGAGTTGCATCATGCTCCCTTGACATGACAGCATAGGGCAACCAGCAAAAGTAGCAGCTGCCTTCTATGCCCGAGCATCTTTCTTGGAAATACTAAGGACCTCCTCTTTGTTTGTGAAACTGCCAGATTTATTGATGTCTTCATTTGAGTACTTTCTTTGGAAGCTCTCACACTTCTAGAAGGGGGTGAAAAACCTTTGGCCCTCCTAATAATGCTAGATGGGGTACAACTCCCATCATCCTTAGCTGGTGCTGGTGAAATCTGGAGTGCCACAGGTTCTTCAGCCTTGAATTAGGCTGCGTAGAAAGATTTAGAAAGCTGATCAGATTCTCACACTTAACTCTCTGCATCTTAATGAATAAATGATAGTCTGAATCGTATCATCTGCAGCTGCTTTGTTAGGAATCTGATCTCCTTCCAAGTTTCCCATCCAGGGGTCTTTCTTAAACCCACAGTGTGTGCCAAGCCGCAGCAAACCTGCTACTATGAATACACAAGTAATGATGTCCTCCAGCTACAGAACTTCTGTCTATAAGCTTTATACCTCCAGATTGGTTAGTATACGGCCACCCTGCAGTGTCATCCCATTTGATATTCCTTCCTACCTACTGAGATGATGGAGGCACTCTTTAAACAGCAACATATTGAGAGCTTACTCCTGCTGGCAGGCATCTCCGGAGTGAAGGGATATGAAATTCAATGCCATGTTTTCTTTCATTATCTTGGCTATTGTTACTGCTGGTGCTTTGAAGACAAGGGGGCTGTATAATTTTTTTAAGAAAAGAAAGGCATGTGGTCTTTCTTCTCATCGTTGATAAAGCAAGGATCCAAGTGGGGTATTCTACCTTGTGTGAAACCGATGGACCAGGATGGCAGCACCAGTTTTTCCCTTCCTCCCACTGCCATGTTGGTTGGCATGGCAGCAAGAGGAAGTAGTTGCTTTCCATGGGTTGCAGGCAAATATTTGCTCTCCATGGGTTGGAGGCAAATATTTGCTCTCCATGGGTTGGAGGCAAATATTTGCTTTCTATGGGTTGGAGGCAAATATTTGCTTTCTATGGGTTGCAGGCAAATACTTGCTCTCCATGGGTTGGGAGCAAATATTTGCTTTCCATGGGTTGGAGGCAAATATTTGCTTTCCATGGGTTGCAGGCAAATATTTGCTTTCCATGGGTTGCAGGCAAATATTTGCTCTCCACAGATTGGAGGCAAATATTTGCTTTCCGTGGGTTGGAGGCAAATATCTGCTGTCCATGGGTTGGAGGCAAATATTTGCTCTCCGTGGGTTGCCCCCCCCGATGCAGAAACTTGAACTGCCAGAGTTCTAGATCACGAGTGTGGTCTACGCAAGTAGAAAAGTTTATTCTTTCAACTCCTGGAGGGGAGGCAATAAGAGTCAAAGACTGGAAGGAAGATATGGTGCTATTGTTCCGGTATTTCCTTCCCCCTCCTCCACAATGGGCACAGAGCAGTTATAGCAGGGAAATTTTATTTTTCTCCCATCATCTCTGTTGGGACTGTTATGAAACAAAACATTCATAAATTCATACCGCAAAGGCTCTGAGGGACAGTGTTCACTTTTGAAAAATGAGAGAGGGCTGCTTCAGAGAGATACGTACCTGGTCCGAGTTCATCCATAGGAATCATATCCCGACTTCCAGTCTTCTCATTATCTATAAAAACGAAGAATTGAAATGGTTGTGTGAAAGGTACAAACTGGCTCAGAACTTGGTTCGTGCATTTTTAAAAAAAGTAATTTGTTACACTTGAAGTTCCGGGACTGCCAAAATAGTTGCCATTATAGTTGCAACTAAAACAAATCTTTTTTTAAAAAAAACTTTCTCATTCTTCAAAAGTAACTCAATACTTTAAAACAAGCAAAAACTATAAGGCAGCTCCAAGCTACATGGCTATTGCATCCAACACACCTTAAAAGGAAATATGTTATTCAAGGACAATGATGGCACTTTAAAGACTAACAAGATTTTGTTTTATTTTCTTTGATTGCAGCCTAATGCCTCTGCTGAAGTGGGCTGTTGTCTTTGAAGGCTTATGCCCAATAACGCTGATTTCTCTTTTAAGGTCTAACAAGGCTCTCCCTCTCTTTCTTGTTCTTGCTGAGAAAACAATTATAATCATCTTAGAAATGCAGAACTGGAAGGGACGTTCGTTCGGGATCATCGAGTCCACCCCTGTTAAGGAGGCACAACGGGAATCGAACTCCAGGCTAAAAATCTACTACTGAACTGTAGCTGTAACAATAAAAGTCACCGCTACTATACCTTTGTAACTAGAGCAGTAAACAAACCAAGTTACATTATAACTGGAAAGTTACACTTGTAACACCCACCTGGTGTGTGATTTTTAATTATTTGGAAAAAGGGAATGGTCAACCACTTCTGAGTCTTCTCTATGTAGGAAACCCCGAAGTGAGTTGCCACAAGTCAGAATTGACTTGATAGAGCATGCGTGCACATCTGCGCATGCACCACCACCAACATCGAAAAATACCAGACACCGTCAATCAAAAACATAAATACATTGGCCGTTATATAGTAACAGATGCCAGTTTTAACCAAAAAGCTTATTATCTGTTAAATATCAGCGCAGTATGTACGCTGTTCCTAATATTGCTGTTTTTTGTAGCTCTGAGGGTGTGATTTCCAAGATTTGCAACTACTTACAGTATAATACTACGTGAGTTGCAATGTGAATGATCCAGACTATTGACATTGCTACTATGTTTGGTGTGTTATGTTCATGGTGTCTATATCAGTTTGGATCTGGAAATCCCACAAGATGATGATGATGGTGCTACTACTTTATTAGCATGAAAAGGACAGGAGAACATCCTCACCATGGGAGATTGGCTAGCTGTAACTAATGTGAACCCCATCAACAAAGCATGTTGAGTTTGAGGAATAATGGCCAAAGTTGACATGATGTTATTCATGCAGTTATCTTGGGAGGGGGCATGATACAAACTTGTGTCACGGTATGGAAATACGGAGGATTCCCTCCTGACGTTTTTCCAGTGCAGACTAGGCCTCCAGGGCTGCTAGTCTGTATATGTAAACCAAGGAATGCAACAGTCTACTGCATAATTAATACCACTTTTATTTCTGACAAGTCCCGTGATTAATGTGGCATGCTTGGTTTGGCCATTGACAGGGGTTTAATGTTCACATATGGTTTGGCCCTGGCTAAACAGCACCTCCGGGGTTGGTACAGACCTTGACTTTTATCCACGAGAGGCAGAGTGCTGTCATCGTAGCCTGATTTGCAAGAGGTGCCTTTGGATCCCTTAGGAGCAGCCGACGCAGACTAGAACAGAAGGGAGACATGCCAGCGTCAGCAGTTTGCGAGGAACGGTGTGGAAAGCAAAAGTGCACTTTTCCAAGTTTGAAA